CACTCCACGCCTACTTCCCCTCCCCTCCCTCCCCTCCCTCCCCTCTCCCCCGCTCTCTCTCTGTCACGTCCTGCAACCTCTTCTCTCCCTCACCCGAACCATCACCAGCCCTGCTCTTCCTGTCACCTTGTACGGCGGGCGAGCTCCAATGAGCATGACCTCCTCCTCAAACTCCACCTCCTCCCACGTCTGCTTTTCAGGCCTCCTTTCCGAGAACCAGAGGCTGTCCCTCCCGAACTGCGAGAGGAGGATAAGAACTTATCGCCGAGTCCCGCCGGGTGGCCACCTGATTCAGAGCAATCGTGCAGTTTTTCAGCTTCAGCCTGGACCTGAGCTCACCCAAAACTTGGTCAGGATCGAGAGTGTGACAAGACTTGGCACATCACTTGTGTTCATCCCAGACAGGATCCGGCGCCATGTACTCGCAGCAGTTGTGGGTCTCGGGACCGTTGTACTGGCATCCCATGACTTCCACTGCATACCCAACGAGTTAGTGGTGAGAGCCGTTGGGCTAGCAAGGAGGATCACAGTCTTCCATCAAATACTCGAGCTCTCCTGTCATGTCAAGCGGCATGTGAGAGGCATTCAAATTCAAGTCCTCCTCGGAGGGAGAGGGTCCGTAGAGGAAGGTGGAGGCCTGCTCTGAAGTCTCAAGTCCTCGTCGCCTCAACTACACCTCCATCGTTCTCCATGTTTTCCCCTCAACCATCGACTATCATGATGATGATGATGATGATAATAGTGATGTTGATGTTGATGTTGATGTTGGCGGTGATGTTGGTGGTGGTGATGATGATCCAATGTCATCGTCATCATCGTCATAATTGTCATCATCTTCATCTCTATCATCCTCTTCATCATCATTCTTTACCCCGCAAAGTCCGATCCTCGAGCTTTCAATCTGTATCGATCCCGCGTGCAGCAACTGCACCGCAATCTCCACAGAGTGTACCGTCGACCTGGTGACCAAAGTGAAAACTTCTCACCGACTTTTCCCGTCCTGGGACCTCTGCATCGAACAAGTAGCACCATTCCAGATCGAAATGGCCGCTGTGACTGCATGCTTTCCGGCGTGATGCAAGCTGCAACCTGACAAAGACATGCTGCTGTTGGTCTTGGCTCGGATGAGCCGCTGGGCTTGTCGAGAATGCTTCCCGTCTCCGCTAACATCGCAATCCTACCATCGCAGCTCAGACCCGCACGGGCTGAAAGTCTTCTACCTCGAACACAACCTTGGCAGAGTAGTCCGTTTGGACAACTCCACCATGCGCACACCGAAGGTTGCACTGTGCAAACTTCCACGAGCCCCACACCTGAGGTGAAGAACAGCAGGAAGAGGAGGAAAAGAGGGTGGAGACGAGGAGAGGAAGAGAAGAGGAGACAAGGAGCAGAGGAGAAGAATAGAGGAGCGAAAATTAGGGAAAGATTCTTACAATCTTTCAAGCACAAGTCTGACAGCACCCACCTCGAATGTGAAGTACATGAACGCAGGAGCTTCACTGAGCAAAGTCACTCCCCTGATTGAACCCCACGTCTCCTTGCGAAGGTGCCACCTCCCCCACAGTACCGTCAGGCTCTTGTTGTAGCCCCACAACCTGGGAGGTAAGACGTATCAGACTAACAAAAGCATAGCTTGGCACAGCGGAGCTCACTCGTGCGAGCAAGTTCGAGGCACGAAAACCGTATCCTCCTGATTCCACGTCTTCGTGATCTCCGCCTCTTTCATGAACTCCTGATTGTCGTCTTGGAACCTACTCAGCACCGACCCGTAGGGTTCCCTCCGCTGCCACTTGTAGATGCCGAACCCGATGTCGAACTTTGTTCCTGTCTTGCTCTTGTGGATCAAGGCCTTGAACTTGTCACCGTCCAAGTACATGTCTTCCGTCCCGTTCACGATTTTTGTCACACTCGTCGCGTTCGTTGCATTCATCAGCTTCATGTACCTCATCCTCCTCACTTTCTGGAGCCCGTCCAGGACCTGTCGAGCTCCTGTATAGTTTTCCATGAACTCTATCCCCTCCGCATGAAACAACTGCTTCTCTGTCTCATTCGGCACCAACTGCCTGTACCTTCGAGGGGGAGGAACTTTGTGAGGTTGCACAACCCGGTACATCCCCGTTTGCCGTGCCCGATGATCTTGCAGCTGCCCTCTACCATGCCGGGAGCTCCTGGATACCCAAACACAAGGGCAGGAGGAGGCAGACATGACGTGTCGGGCACAGGAGCGCTGAAGATGGTACACTTGATGTTCTCAGCTGAGAAGCTTGCGAAGGGGTAGACCTGATCGCAGGGTCAAGGCAGCACAGGGGCAGGAAGCTGCATAGTTAGATCGACCTCGTCGGGCAGGTCGTAGAAAGGAGTTCCGAGGTACTTCCCATTCAAGAAGATGGATGCAGAATGATTTTCCGGGTCAACCAGGATCCCAACCTGCTCACTCAGTGTAACGTGGAGAGCGCAGGAGAAAGCAATGGCTTCACCCGATCCTGGCATCCAAAGCTAGCATCCTGCGCCCATCGTTCTTGCCTCCTGTAAGGATCTGAGATCCACCCATAGCTCTCCATCTCGCTATCATGCAAGGCCCAAGTGTGGTTCTGTCTACTGTCCTCCCACCACAGACCGTCGAAGGTATCGACATGTTTGCTGACCAGCCCGACAGCATTGGATCCCTCCTCTAGAATTTCGCCTTTCTTGATGTGCTCCTGTTCAAACGACACCTCGAAGTAGCTGCGGCGAGGAGGGAGCGGATTGTCTGTGCGAACGCTCCAGGCAGTTTCTGGTGCCCCGTCATACATGTAGAAGTTTGGAATTTCTCCGTGAAAAGCAGATTTCCCTTCATCTTGTATCACTAACTGGTCAGATTTGTACCTCTGAGACCATCGAAGCGTCTCCTGCATCTCCTCTGTAACTCTACCAAGACCCTTCCCTCCTCTGAGGTTCAGAGACCTATGCTGTGATAGCCGGTATTGCTCAGAGCCGGCGAGCTTCATCAGCCGTGGGACCATGGATCCTTGCGGCCTGCATAGATCGCTCCCATCGGACAGCATGGATGTCACCCCCATCTCTATCAGGAGCCGCAGAGCCATGTGCGCTGCCGTCCACCTTTCCCTTGCGCCCATTCCCCGACAAAATGTTCCCTCATCCCCCCTCATCCCCGAAATGATTGAGGAGGGATGAGGGCAATCTCTGCCAAAATATACCATTCTACCAGGTAGGTAGGGGTCATGACCACCCACCCGTGTTTGACACAGAACAACAGGGTAAGTGGTAGGGTCAGTATGCCCTACCAACATTTGGAGATGACAATCAATTCCAATGACCTCGAGTTCACTTTTTACCCCTGCAAGTTCAAGATCACCCTGCACATTTCAAAGTACCCCTTATTATCTAAGAATATCCATCGAAAAAAGGGGGTACTCAAGTCTATCCGCTCCGTCGGACCCGTACCCTTTGTTGAATCACCCAAGGCTTTTGTACCCCTACCCTCCTCCCCCCCTGACGTTGTGCAGGGTCCTGCCGTGACCTGGCATCATGGCGAGAGCGTGCCAAAGAACTGAGGGGCGCGGATCATGGTGTGGGATGCGACGATCAGCGAAAATGTCCGTGGGCGAGGAGAAGACTGATAGAGGAGAGGGAGGAAGAAGAGAAGGACGAGTATCAAGGTTCGAAGAACATCGAAATTGAGGTCACGAGAGCCAGAGGCAATTTTCGTCTAGGCAGTAGAAATAGGTGTAGTGGCGAGAATGTAGGGAGAAACAATATACAAGCAAGCTGTTCTGATCAAATTACATGATGATGTAAGAGGGATGTACGATGGTCACAGGAACGGGGTAATCATGAGTTGAGTCAAGCGGGGTATAAGGAAATCAAGTGTGAAACTGAGGAGAGTGAGATCTAGAGCGAAGAAAAAAAGCAGAAGATTGTCGAAGGATGTGAAAATTGCCCAACCATTTGACTCAGCGAGCTGCATTGCATGAGATAGACATTGTGCGGCATCGAGCTAACCTGCATTCTTGATTAGGTTGCACAGGGGCAGGAAGTTGGACACAGTACCGTTGTGCGCTTCAACGGCCCCTTGCATGAGGAGAAAGCACCATTAGCTCACTGCGGATACAGAAGCATCTCTTCCAACTAGCAACTCAAAGATGGCCTGCTTTGACGGGCAGCGCGCACGGGCCGTGGCGGCCATGATGCTTCTTTCCTTCGGGTTGGCAAGTGCCAACCGGTTCCAAGAGGCATGGGTGATGAACTGCGATCATACATTCCCTGATGGAACAAGGTGTTCCTGTTACTCTCCGCTTGGCACCTCGCTCTGCTGATCTGATCACTCAGTTACGACCTCTCGCCTCTCACTCGCACAGCGGGAAGGCCAGATTATGTCGGAAAGGACAAGATGGGCAACCTTTACTACATAAACGGTGCGACGGCATGCGACATCCCACTTGGTACTGAAACATGTTTCAGTGTGTTCTAATGTACAGGAGATTCCAAAGGAGTGCAGGATATTGCAGAAGGACATCCGGGCTCCCGTCTATCAAGTGATACTGCTACCCTCTTTCTAACGAATCTAACAGGATTACAGGTTCGAAATGATAGTTTTTGCCATTGGCTTGGCATGGAAAATAGCCATAGCTGGGAATACATTGAGAAGGGAAGTCCTTACGTTGGGGTCCAGTTGACATATAGCAATGGAGAGTATTGTCAGGTTGTTGTTTCTGATGGCCTTGTTACGTGGTTGTTTTGATTGATTGCCACAGGAAGGGATGAATAGACGAGTAAAGCTCCAAATGTATTGTGATCATCTGGGGAGATTGGGTTCAGTTGGTAAGTGTTTTCTCCTTCCGGAATTTCTCTTGCTGTTTGCAGCGCAACTCCCTTGAATTGCGGTGATATGGTTGTTCTCCAGGTGATTACTACGTGACTGTCGAGTCACCATGCACGTATGTTGTCACCTTTCCAACTCCCTATGGCTGTCCCAAGGTAAGAGATTTCTCTTCATTAGCTCTTCTCTCCCTTCTACCTCAATGGCAAATCGCCTTTCGCTTTTGTCCATTTCACACTTCAATTTCCTTGACTCGACCCATTGACAAACATGTTAACAGCCTGCAACGATGAGCAAAGGAACAGTTTTCATTATCTTGTGCGATTCAGTGCTCTACAACCTTAAGATTTTCTCACTCGCCTGCAAACAGATTCTTTACAGCACTTGGTGCATACCTTGGAGGAGGGCTACTGATTAATGTTACCAAGTGAGATGTCAAATGCTCTGTATTGCATGCAGGATCTTATTCTGATCTCTAGGTACCACATGCCTCTGAGCATTAACTCGCTACCACACATCGAGTTTTGGAGAAATCTTCCTGAACTAATCAAGGTCAATGGAGGTTCGAGGTGGGTCTTTTGGACTTGTAATGGTGGAGACAGGATGGCTTGTTGTTCGCCTATGACGCGATCATGGTGAAGTTGGGTTACAGAGAGCCGAGAGAGGCTGGGGGAAGGTGATTCAATTCCTGAACGCCTTCATACGTTTTGACTAGCATGCTGCAGTTTTGAATGGTCAGGTTTATAACACGAGGGAACAAGACAGAGCTCGCTAACACATCCGAAAAACGATCTAAGAAAATTCAAGGAGACAATAAAACATATGGAAACTGACAAGTGCTATAGATTGTAACTTAACATTTTCATGTTACCCTCGATCACCTTCGAATGGTATTTGCTATCAAAACAGGGCTACTTGAAAGGGAAATCATCGCTCGTAGTTTGTGAACTTTCGAAAATCGTCTTCGACGCAAAATCAATTCTTGCCAAATGTCTATCAAGCTCACCTTCGCATCGTGAAGTCTTCCCTTACCAAGACCAGGACATCTGCTCTCCGAATTCTTGTCAAAATTTGTGACAGACTGAAACGAAAACACGAACTCTTGTCCTGCCTCCTCCCAAGCTTCTTGATCTACAACGTTCTCTATCCAGAATGGCCACGTCCTGTTTCCCGTCATGACACACGAGAAATACACAATCGTCACCTGCATTGCAGCGGGCGAGACTCGTAAAGCATGCAAACAGCTTTTCCAGGCATCTTCCTAGCTACATGCTTCAGGACTACCATGGTGAGAAAGGATACACGACTTTCTGTCTAGAAAGATGCAGTCCCAGCCATGCTTCTTCGTCTTGACCTCTTGCAGCTGCAACAAGGACCATGAGAAGCGAGATTGGAAAACAAGAGCCTTCCTCCCAGCTCCCCGATCTTCCTTTCCTAGCGTAACTCTGAAGAAACTCCTGTACAACTATCAAGAAGCAAGCATAATCGCTCCTGCCACTCAGCACCTTCACGTTGATGTTTAACTTGTTCGCCATTGACTCTGCTTCCTCCTCAGAGAACACAACGCTTCCCTTCTTCCTGCATGACAATAAACCCCCTCGAACCCCCTCTCTTGCCAACAGACCCTGAGCAGCAGTTCCCGCACATGGTACAATGGAATCTAAGGCCCTCCTTGTACCACATTTCTTGGTACACCCCACCATCGTTACTATCTTGTGGAAGACTCCCTGCAGACATTCTCCCTGACGTCCCAGCGCAGAAGCTTCGCTTCTTGAACCCTCGCGTCTGTGATAATCGCGCCCTTGCATCGGTACCTTGCCTACATATGGACCAGAACTTGAAGGATTCGTAGTGCATAGAAGGCGCATTGCTATTCATGACTGCTCTCAATTGGAAAGCAGGACAGGAGGTTACCAACAGGGCTGAAAAGGTAGATTGTCAGCTCCCAAGGCTCGCTACCTTGGCCCCAACTTCCATGTCTGCTCATTAACTACTTGCTCCTGCCCCCTCACTGCTCCTTCCTCTCCATGTGCCTCAAAGTCTCTTCTTCATCTCCTCCTCCTCCTCCTCCTCCTCCTCCTCCTCCTCATCCCTTACCTCCGGCAAGCATCGCGAGCGGCCTCATTGAAAGGAGTAACCACAGCAGCTGGCAGACCTGGACGGCGGTAGGGCCAGTTCTGGGGCCAGTTGGCGCCATGGAGGGCAAGGAATCGCGAGGTGTTTGGTTGGGTATGCGGGCGACGAGGAAGCAGGGATGGAGAGAGGGCAGGCAGAGATGCTGATGCTGATGCTGCTGCCCTGATCCTCTTCAAGACAGACCTCGCTCTTGTCCTCGAGGGCAGGGGGCGTGCAAGTTTGTTGAACTGACTGAATGATTGTCGGGGAGAACTTGAGCTACGGTTAAGGTACATTGCTGCGAACCTTCCTGTGCATGTTTGCATACTGGAGTATCTGGCTTTCGTGATTACTGTCGTTTTCTTTTGCTGTCCTGCGTTTTCTTGTCAGTTCGTGCATTTTTCATCCTAACTCCTTGTTTTGCAGACATAGAATCGTTACAAAGGCATGCATCTGATTGAGTCCTCTGAAGTTTCTGGCGTGTTGATGCTCATAGCGATCGAGTATACGAACTGAGCTCGATGAAGTCGGACGCACTGAAACAGCAGGTTTCAACAGCTCTTGAAAGAATTGTTCACAACGATCCCGATCTCGTGTTCGTGGATTTCTGCCATGACCCTGATGAAACGGAACATGATGGGTTGCAGGACGAGGACGTGCTGAAGCTGTTGCCTCCCATCGCCAAGAACACATACCTGAGAGTGATATTGCTGTCAGGAAATTCACTCCTCACAGATGGGATTGTCAAAGAAATTGAAAAAGCCCTGAAAGAGAACAATACCCTCGAGAACATCGACCTGGAGTTCACAGGCGTGTCGATGTCAGCCCGAGAAAGAGTGTATTCTATTTTCTTCCAGAGAAACCTCCACGGATTACCTGCAAACTATGTCTCAAGTTTCCTTGGACCTCACCCAATTCACCATCTGAAGTTGTCTAACAGTCATCTGAAGAATTCGCATCTGCAGGCAGTTTGTGCATTTGTAGGAAGACAGAAATATCATGTCAAGTTGGACTTGTCGGGGAATCGGCAAGTAGACGACGAAGGTATCAAGCACCTGGACGAAGTGATCAGAGTCCGCAAGAAAGTCACACAGATCAACCTCAAGGGGACGAGCGTGAGCACGGAGACACAACGACACGTTCAGGAAATTGTGCAGGAAGTGCTGTGGAATATGCAAATGCACGTCATTGAGAGCAATGACCCAAGGGTAAAATCTGTAGCGTTTCCTCCGATAGAAATCGGATTTGACAAGGTGAATCGACTTTGCCAAGGGCTCAGCAACAATACGTCGCTGACAAGCCTGGACATGCGGCAATCCAAAATCAATGAATATGACCTTGAGCAGATCCTTACTACCATAGAAAGATGCAATCCAAAGGTAGTAGAAGTTATGATGAATGTGTCGAAGGCTTCCAATCATTTTCAAGAAAGCTACAAACAGCAGATCATCACGTTGACGACAAGGGCTTTGAAGCGAAAGAGCGATGTTCTGACAAAGCTTGACATGTCCTTCGTGAATCTGAGTGACCATGATGTTGTCAATCTTGCCATTTTTGTCAGAAAGCACTCGAGAGTGAAGCTTTGGAACTTATCCAACAATCCTCAAGTCAGTGATATATGCTCAGATGCCCTTATAAAAGCATGTGACTTGCCCAGTCAACTAGATTCCATCCTTGTGGAAAAAACCAGCATTTCGAACGAGGTCAAGAAAAAGTTGAAAGAATGCATTCGAAGACAAAAGGTTGATGACTTGCGAGGATTTTTGAAGGAAGCAAAATTTGACGAAGAACAAATCAAAACTATTACAAATCAGAATGTAAATGGAGTTCAAATCCAAAGGTCTCAAAGTAAACAATCTCCCATGGCTGTTCTGAAATCATTTTGTACTATGAATGCTTCCTATATGAGTGTATCGGAGCTCATGAACACTTTATCGTCAAACTTGCATCAAGCAGACATGGCCTTGTTCAAGATAGAAATTTTCTTTTCTACAGACAGCTCTATTTTTCCGCACGAACGAGCCAACATACGAAGACAAGTCTTGCTTCATAATATTACCGCAACACTGCTTGATTTTGAGAGGCGAAGGCAAAGTTGGGTTGATTTTACTGACCTGGGAATAGATGACGAAGGGTTTAAACTTATTGTCGAGCAATTTCATGCATTAACATCGCAGATACACGTGACCTTAGATTTCTCTAATAATCCGTCATTGGGAACAACGTCTGAATACCAATTGTTGCGCCTTATCAATAACTCCGCCAGTATTGTGAATGTCAGACTGCAGAAGACTTCTTTCAGTCAAGACGTCCTGAACAGAATGCAGCACACCTTCAGGGAAAGATCTCAGAAGTCGTTGGACAGGTTTCTTGACGATCATTTCGATGATAGTCAACCAGTCTCAATCAACTTTCTAGCCGGTCAGCACCTCAAGAGCGCGGACATTGTCAAACTCAGCAAAGTTTTGACGTCATGTCAAGTTTTGGATCTGGATTTGAGCGACGCACCTGAGCTTGACGACAATGCTGCACGGGTGCTAGAGAGTTCAATTGACAAGTCCCTTGTCTTGAGTCAAATCAATCTCTCAAGGACCACCGTTTCTTCGAAATTATGTTCAGCAATCAAGCTGAGAATAGACAAAAAGTTCATTCAAGACCATTGCGAGTCACATCATTCATTCTTTCTCAACACGAAGGAAATGGACCTCAGAGATAGAAATTTGAATGATGATGATTTCATGAAAATAGTTGAGTCTCTGCCTCAGAAACCGACCCTCGCATTTATAAACCTCATGGAAAACATGCAAATTACTGATCAAAGTGTAAAACATGTTGAGAATTTCATCAAGAACAACTTTCGCAAAAGTCCTCTTTCGGTGAATTTCGAAGATACAGGAGTTTCAAATCCTGAAAACGCTAAGTTCAACAATGTTGCTGGTGCTGGAATGATCGAAATGTTGCAAAAAGCAGATCTTGGTAACAGCTTTGAAGATGCAATGTTCGGACTGGATCAAATACAAACGATGATGAAAAACTTGAATCGTGGCATCGAAAATCACATCAGAAACCTTTCTACTGCACTACCAACAAGTCTTCATAAGATGTCTGACCAATTCAGCAAAGATGATTTCTCGACATCGTTCCAGATGCCGCAGGGCATGAATGAGAAAATTTTGAAGCCCAAGAAACGTGAAAGAAGATCTGGACAGGTTGGAATGAGATTGAAATTCGATCATCCCGCCATGTTGAGCTCTGACGCGCTGACTACGACTCTTGGATGTCCACGAGGGATGTTAGAGACCATCACAGTGAGTGACCAGATTGTGGATATTCTCATCTCCACGCAACACGGACTTGAGCAGGATCTCAGCGTGGATGGATTGACGCAGCAACTATTTTCGATGTGCGATGACTCGCGCAGTGAGTTGTGCATCCGGTACAACCGAGGGAAGGAAATCCTCTGCATCTATCCGTGGGCTGTCAATTCCAGACAACGTCATCTTGACGACGACGACGAGGAGGAGGAGGCTGAGGAGATCGATTTCACCGGTGATCATCATGACATCTGCAATAGCAAGTCTCCATTCTTTCAGAAGATCTTTGAGTATCTTCGAAACACAGAAGAAAAGTTGAACTCGACGAGATTGCAAAGCCAAGTGGTCCAATCCATGTATTTGTCTCGAGTTCGTTCAATCTTTCATGACTTGCTTGAGAGTCTTTCAAGGGTGAAGTCGCTGACTCTAGACGACTCATCGTCAAGACATGGAGGCGAAGAACAGTCGCTGGTAAAGTTTCTCAAGGAATTTTCATCTTCCATCAAGAAGCAAAAGGACCCGTTTGTTCGGAATAATCTAAACAAAATGTGGAAAACCGTCAGAGATAGATTTGAAGCTTTTGCAAGATACCAAAAGAAGGATGCACGCTCGGTGGACACGACAGAAATCATCTCGATCTTTCAGCAAGCGTTGAAACGGACAAAAAGCTTAGATGAAGAGTTGGAATCTTATCTCCGCTCTCAAAGAGCCGAATTGCAAGAAACTTTAAAGAAGAAACAAGCTATTGAGCGTCTAAATTCAGAGCAGAAGATGAATCTCCAGGTTAGGAAGAGGCAAATTGCAACTGAGCTCGAATCTCTTGAGCGTGAACAGGAGAAACTTGTGAAGAGCATTGTTGACCAGATAGAAAAACTTGGACAGAACACTAGGAAACGAATAAGCTTGAAGCATGAAAAAGGAAGGATCGAAGATGAGGAAGGGGGTCAGCGAGAAGTGTCGGAAATCATAGAGAGCGCTATCAACAAAGAAAAGGCTCACATCGCATACATAGAAGATCTCAACACAAGTCGGATGATCAACAGTGACGTGCAAAATGTTTTGCAGAGAAGTATCGGCGACTCAAGATCAGTCGTTTCTGAAGATCTTGACAGCTACAACTCTGCAATCTCTGACTTTGTACTCAATGAGATCCATGGGTTGTTGGTTCCTTTCCTGTGTGTGTCGCTGCTCGAGCAGTCGAGGAAAGCTCAATCAATCCACGTCGATCTTGAAGAGATTGAGAGGATGCGGTCGAAAGCAGATCACTACCAGAAGCTTGGAAAGCTGCACAAGCTCAGCAACGTGCAGTCTGCATGGGAGGGCAGTGAGAGTGAAACGAGAAGATACTTTCGGAATTTCAGACTTGTGCTCGGCATGGACATAGAGGATATCAAGAGTGTCGAGAACTTCAAGAGTGCTCTGGTAGAAGAACTCACCGAGGCCCTCGGGGTAGATAAGAAGCAGGTGGAAATCCTCGCTGTTTCACCTGGGAGTGTTGTCGTGGACCTGAGAATCCACCAAAACCTTGCAGGTCATTCCCAGTCGTTGGATGAGTTGTCACGGCATGTCATCTCACTGAAACAGACTGATTTTCGTTCTCTGCGCACTGGGAAGCTGACTGCTCTTGTGACCGACTTTCAGGAAAACGACGTGCTGTATTACAACGGGGCCTCCATCGAAACTCAACAAAGGGAGCTTTCGAGCCTGACGCAGTCGCATAATTACGTCTTAAATGACCTGGTAGAGATCTGGCAGCAAATTGCAAAGAGTTTCTACTCTGTGCTCATTTGTCGCAACACTGAAGACGAAATCCTCCTTCAGTTTGACAGATCCAAACGAACGTTTGTGTGCATTTTAGGAATCCAGGCATTGCAGAAAAGTGTCTCTTGGGACGAGTTTGCTGAGTCTTTCAATGACGACAACAACAATCCCTTACCCAAATATCTGACAACCATTGAGGCCTCGCAGATGGTCAAGTGCGCGCTCAACGATCAGTTCCAACGAGAATTCCAGAAAGCTCAGGACGAACATGCTGCGATGCAGGACTGTAATCGGTTCCTCCGAGAAGAAGAGAGCGCGATACAACAGAGAATCTCTACGCTAAGACGGACAATGTCAGAAAGCCAGGAATCTTTAGTGAGTTTGACACATCGAGAGACAGCTCTGCAGAACACTTTGTCGCAAAAAGAGACAGATGCGAGCTTGAGCAAGATTGCGCTGCAGGAATATGGGAAACAGCTGAGTGATGTCAAGAAGAATCGAATCCGAACAATCATACAAAACAGGGATGATAGCATGGCCTCTCAACGTGTTTTGGAAAACTATGTAAAGAAATTAGACAGATTGTTCATGTTGCATTCTTTCGGTTTTTGGAAATCATGCAGCTTGCCAAGGCGATGCGAGAAGTTGAACAAAGAAATCTATTCGACAAACCAGAAGATTATTGAGGCAGAGAAGAGCTTGAAGTTTGTTGTGAAGCAAATAGATGGCGAGGAAAGCCGTCTTGTAGGCATCCTTTCAAAAATCACTCAGATGAAAAGTCAGACAGAGCGGAAAAGAATCGTATTGCTGGCGTACCAACACCTGAGCAGCTTCAGTGATGGAAGCCGCAGACAGCTCAAGAACAGTCGGAGCGATTTCCTCGTGAAGAAGAATGACGTGGAGTTCCTGACGAATTTGCATCTTGTGACGAATCTACCTTACCAGGACCTAACTTCAGACAAGCTCTTGCAAGACAAGGTACAAGTTAGCCTCTCAAGCTTCTTGGAGCAGAAACTCAAGGAGAAAAAGTTCCTTAGACAACAATCGATAAGGCAGAGCTCGTCAGGGATGGCGGAATTTCATGTCGTCCTGTACCATTCTTCCGATCAGCTTGCAAACGAGCTGGCAGAGTCGTTTCTTACTTGGAGTCTGGTGAGGGTGAGAAGGATCCCGTCCAGGTCAGTCGAGGAAAAGTTCCGGGAAGACTTCATCAAGGTAACGTCAGCCACGACTAGCCACAAGATAGGTGAGGGACAGTTGGGCGAGGTGCTGGAAGCAGAGTACTTGGGGCGGAAAGTTGCCGTCAAGTTCATTCGCTTCTCAGGGATGTCAAGCTATGTAGCAAAGATCCGGTTTGAGCCGATGACAGGCGAGATCCAGTCCAACGTGTCGCTCCTGTGCTCGCTACGTCATCCCAATGTGCTCAGGTACGAAGGGATGTACTGGGAGCAGAAGGGGAGGGGAGTCCCTGACTTCGCCATCGTGATGGAGCACGCTAGCAGCACACTGTTCGACGTCATTGCAAGGAACTCAGCGCTGCATCACAAGAGTTTGATCGTTCCAGAGCTCGAGCTGGAGGAGGTGTTCAGGGCGATGGACCCTTCCTCCTCAGGGCGAGTGACGCAGAGCATGTTCGTGAGAGCTCTCGAGCAAAACGAGTGGATCGTGAGGAAGCTGAATTTGTCCGTCGGAGTGCTGCAAGACGACTGCCTGCGATACATCTGGAACTACGGCATCGAGCTGGGGAGCTTGCAGGAGCCCCCCAAGAAGTACCACCATCCCTTCGGAAGGATCGATCGGGATGCTAAGGGATACATCACCCTCGAGGATCTGCTGAGCTTCTACGGTCGCCGGGAGCTCGTCAGCGACAGGATCGCATGGCCGCAGCGGTTACAGGTCGCCATGGCCGTGGCCAGCGGGATGGAGTACCTGCATGACAGGGGAATCTTTCACGGTCTCCTCAACAGCAAGAACGTGGCTATCATATTCGATGAGGGCAAGAATCCCTCCGGCACCTGGAACCTCTGCAGGGTGGCCGTGACAGACTACGGCCTCCCTTTCCTGAGGAGGAACTTCGAGCTAATGCCGGATGTACAGGCGCGCCATGCAGCGTGGCTGCCGCCAGAGGTTTTGCTGGGTGACGAGGCGAAGATGGAAGGAGACTCGTGGAGCTACGGCATCATCCTTTGGGAGCTCCTAACGGGTTTCGTGCCATGGCCCGGCAAGGCAAGGGACGACTTGACGGCGCTGGCAAGGAAAGGGCAGCTGATCCTTCCCTTGTCTCTTCAGGACAACTATGAGCAGCCTCCTGGGTACTGTGAGGTGATGAATGACTGCATGCGGCGAGAGACGCAGGATCGTCCGAGCATGCGAAGGGTTCTCGAGAGATTCAGGGACTTGTCGAGGAGTTGGGGAGGAGACTATCTTCCTGGTTAATAAGAAAGCTTAAAGATCGTGTCGGGGAAAACGTGGACCCCTTGGCAAAAACGGGAAGGTGTAACATAGGCATTAGGTGCTTCTAGGCGAGAGTGGTCTTGATGGAATTCTGCGAAGGGAGTCAGCGAGCAACAGGGCATGGAGAAACAGACGTACAGAGTTTCTGCTCTGATGCTTGTTAAGAAGCTCTTCACCTGCCCTCAGGTCAGGCTGCAGCTCCTCGAACAAATACGACCCCTTCCCCTCCTCACCGTATTTCAGAGCAGCATCCATATCCTTGTGCTTGGTGATCAACGTTCCGCCTTGATCTGCTAGAACAGCAACCAGTAGTCAAGTTTTAGCCAGCCAGCCTCTCGTTCCCTCACCAACGTACGTCTGCTTCCAGCCGTCTGTCTGAGGCACGCGAGAGACATCCAACCCTCGTCGAGAGGATCCCCACAGATCACTGGAACTGGAGGTTGGCTTGGATTCTATTCCCTTCACTGTGAACTTGCGGGTAGAAGACGGAGCGCAGCAGCACGTGAACGCTCGCATCGCCTGCATCCCTCCGCCGGTCTCTTCCTTGTCCTCTGACTTGGTTGCAGCACCCTCCAACGAGTTTCCCATAGCGGCTGTTGGGGGATGCTGCGGGGACAATTGTCAGAATCTTTTCGCCAACTCCCGTACCAAAGTCATGTGTACAAATTCAACCATATTAGGGTAGAAGTTGCCCCGCGTCAATCATCGAATCAAATCGATGCTGTCTAAACTCCTCACACTGATACGTAATGGTCCTCTCTCCCACTTCATCTTGTCTCTTCTCTCACAGCATCAGTGGCATGCTCATCGCCGCTCTGCGGCAGTTCCGATCCGTTTCCTTGCCATTCTCCCATCAACTCGGCAGCTACTACCATCCTCCATACACATCCGGGTCCGATCCCCGGACATGTGGGTGGGGTCCCCCGTCAATCAAAAAGCACCGTGGTGGGGTAGGGGGTCACCGGGTTGACCCACCCAACCCTTATATTAAATCAACTTATTCTTTGCTATTGGGGGGTAGGATGAACCAATCTTTGTAGGAAGTGACCTCAGGAGGGTGGGGTCCTCCCTCCGATTGGAGGGGTAGTAGTCCGATCGAGACATGGAAAGGCTTTGAGGAATCACTACTTGCTGGGGGGCCAGGCATTGCTAGTATCCGGCGGGACTCGGCCCGGGCCGGAGTCCCGGAGTCGGGCCCGGGATCCGGGGCAATCGCAGATTTCACTGACGAGGTGGGGGAGAATCATGGAGGCGGGAAGAGCGGAGGATCCGCTGGTGCAGCATGTCATCCTGAGGAAGGACTTGACCAAGGTGAGCAATGCCTTGTTGTGCGCCTGTTGTCCTCACCCTCCATGCTCGCTGCTCACGCCGTCCTCCATGCTCTGCAGAAACCTCTCTCTTGGCCCGCTGGAAGCATGATCGCGCAGGCTTGCCATGTAGTCTCTAAGACCCTCTGGGAGATGAAGGACCACGCCAATGTTCAGGTATACCTGCATCGACGACATGGCACATGCGCTGTGTCGTCAGAACAGCTGACCCGTTCCATCTTGATCCTCACAGAAGTACATGATGGATGTGGACAACATGCACAAGGTGAGCATCATACAGAGAGTTACATGTGCTCACGGGGCGCCAAGGTGACTCTGTCGGTTGAAAGTGAGGAGGAGCTTCTAGGGTGTGTATGCCGTCAAGCCAAGCTCCATACCTCTGACCTGCACACAGAGTCAGCAAAACCCTCCAAGACAATGGGATCGAGCATCGCGTTTGGAAGGAACAAGTAAGTCAGCTCCGACGGTCGAAGGGGTCTGTGCGACTCTGAGATGCTGGTTAGCCCGAGGGAATCCTCACTGCCATTGCCACCATCCCCTACCCCAAGTCTGTCACGGTGAACTTCACTGACCGTCCCTTCCTCCTTGACCCCCGGGCAGGCGCCGCTCCTCCGACACCTGAAGCTCTTTCGATGAAATGCATGCGTCTCATGGAGTGTAGAGGGATGAAAGTGCAGGAGAAGGACGACAGAATCGCTTTCTTTGTGACCGTAGGCCGAGGGATGCGGCATTTTGCTGTGGAGGAGATAAAGAAGAAACTTGGCCGATTCCAAGTCAGAGTGGTCCTTGAAGATTGCTGGATACTTCAGAGCTCTTACATACTCGTAGCTGAAGGAGATGGAAGGGAAACTAGCTTTCGACCTCTTGTGGGACAACCAGACTTCACGCATAGGTAGATGCAATGACTGCTATGAGCCCTGTCCTGACACCGGCTCCCGTTGCAGACCTACATCGGTCGCTCCTGAGCATGAGGACGGTTGAGAGAGTTGGTCTCATGCTCCTTGCTACATGTGAAGACGCCTTCCTCGCATCCATCGCGTGCTGTACTGGTGTTGGGCATGAGAGAAGTCGGAAGAAAAGAAGAGTAGACGCTGCTTGCGACCCCTCAGATGCTGATGGAAACAAGACAACGCGCAGTGGATCGAGCGAGAGCGAGCGAGCAGCTGTGGAGAGTGAAAATCAAGTTCTTGCTGACCTGATTCGACTATGCAACCTCCCCGATGCCGTCTCCAGGTACTGATGGATGGACTTCAGGCGGTAAGAGAGCAGATTCTCATGGGCAGGGTGCAGGTGGAATCAACTGAAACACGAAGTCAAGGCGCAACAAGAAACGGTCCCAGAGATTTCAGAGTGTCGCATTTCCTGCAAGGTAGAGACAGCAGGCCTGCATTTGGCCGTTGAACGCTTGTTACAGACGCGAGGGAGATATCGAGGTGTGAATGCGAGGAAGGTGGGGAAGTAGAAAAATATTTCGTTCTGCCCAGCTGTGTTGACGTTTCTCAGGTTGCGGAAGTCTTGGGTTCGGTCATACAGCGCGAACATCCTAGGGAGATCAAGATGGTTGGATGGACTGATGACAAGATGCAAGAAGGAGTTCAGAGCAATGCCTTGGATATTCTTTTTCACGTCAACGACGAGGGTATTTTCGTGGGCCTCCTCCTCACTGCAAGTACTGCACCGTCGTCGCTGATGCGAATCCCTTGTGACTTTCGATCCCAGAACCCCTAGCAGCAAGAGCCTACCATGACAGCCAGCAGGGGCAGAGGAAGCGAGAGCAGGAGGACGAACAGGATCTGTGTCATGATGACGACGAGGAGCAGAAACGTCCCCACGTTCAGCCGTCCTCGCCCTTCCCGTCGAAGTTCTCAGGCCTGCGGTCCACAGTGGCGGCAGCCATGTGCGACATGGCAGGCCTGGCAGCCGGGGACATCGTCTTGGATCCGGCATGCGGAAGAGGATCGGTGAGGAGCCGCTGCCATGGTCCCGCTGACGCTGCTCAAAAAGATCCTTCTTGAGGGCCTCATGAACCATCCAGGCGCTGATTTCGTGGGGCTAGATTCTGAGTGAGCACAACAGAAATCCTTCAACCTCCATGCAGCGTTCATATCACAGAGCTCCTCTCGCTCCTCCTTTCTTAGACACTCTCCTGACTCGTCTTGATCTCCCTTGGCTTCCTTCCTCTTTATCTTCACCCCTTTGCTACAACGTACATCTTCCTTCCCTTTAGTGCCACAAGCCGAATGCCATATCTGTTTCTCTCTCCTCCTCCTCCCTTCATCGTCCCTCGACAATGTGTATGGGTTCATGTCCTCACGACTCCCTTTTTAGCATCCGAGCTCTCCGAACAACATCCGATCTCGTTTCAAGCATCGGTGACTTCCATCTATTCACATTCTTTTGTTCGGGTCAACTCACAGCATCAAAGGCATCTCATCAGCGCAAGTTCGACTCATTCGTGGAGACTTCCGCTCGATGCCTTTCCGCAGCAACACCTTCACCAAGGTGACAGGAAGCCTGTTCCACTGTCTGCAAGTTGAATGATACTGGGGAGTCTCAAACCCGTCGGGACTATGGCGGGAAAGGCTTGTCATTTACCCATGTGCCTCTAAAGATGATTGACAGCAGTGTTCACAAAAGTGCTCATCAATGTTCTAACGCGTGCGAGACAGATCATAGTCGACCTTCCCTTCGGCTGTCAACACAAAATTCCCTCAGTCCAGGTTTCAGTCCCTCGCATGAAGACCTCCAGTCTTGACCCCCCGGACCCCCTCCGGCAGGTGGAGCAAGGGGTCCCAGAGCGATCTGACGCCGAGGCCATGGTCGACGAGCTGCTGCGGGAGAGCAGCAGAGTCTTGACGGGAGGAGGCCTCCTATGCTGCCTGACTGGTGACCCTCCCTCCCCTCTCCTTCCTCCCTTCCCTTCATGAGTAATCTTGTTTACTTCTATCCTGCTCCTTATTACCCGTTGACATTCCCCCTCCCCCCTCCTCTCCTCCTTCTCTTTTCTTCTTGTGGCATCTTGTTCTGAAGCCTCATGTCCAGTGCATGGGGCTCTGTTTGAGCAGCAGGTCAAAGATCGACCAGGTGGACCTTGCGGGAGAAGGTAATCCTCGTACCTTCACCCCCTTTCTTCGTCTCCCCTCCTCCTCCTCCTCGCCCCCCCCC